AAATTGATGGCTAAAGTCATTGTTTACAAAAGCAATTACGCCCCTTTGAAATGTTGGCACTGAAATGAACAACATTAGAGTAACATTTGAAATGGGCCTATGTCCAAAACGTAAACAAACCAGAAAATGAATTTTAAATTTTTCCGCCACTATTCAATTCATATTTAAGTAAATTGAAGTATTTTAGACATTTTTATTGTTCACAATAACAATAGTAACTGTATCTCAGTATACAACCTTCAAAATATGCGAAAAGCTTTCAAAAATATATGAAAATCGATAACAATTTAATTTCATAAATTAATAAGCCTTTTTATGAATCTTTCAATGGATAGGCCCTTTTTGTTAAGTCGTTGTGCTTGTCATCACGAATGGTACGCCGAGGGGGGCCGACACATCTAAATCTCAATTCTTGATTCTTAAAAAAATTCACAGTAGTGAATTATTCTTTGGAAAATCATCTTTCATTTCTTGCATCTTCTCGCATCTACTTGCATCGCGCATCATCTTTTTGCAGGAAATCTTCAGAATCATCATCAATCTTCTTTCTATCTACTTAGTGTGCGCGCAGCTAGCCACAGCAAAACACAATCTTTGCTGCAACGGAGATAAAGTCGCTCCCCTCGGGTACACCCATTGCTGAGCCTTTTCGCAACGTCAAATAAATTCAAAACAAATCATCGACCCTGCCTCAACTGTAGGGCCTAGCTTTGGTTTGAAAATTTTCAATCATCGGCCCTTCACAAGGCTTATCAATGAAATGAAATAAATGAATGGTTGGCCGTTTTAGCGTGTGGGCCTATTAATGAATCGAAAAATTTCGTTGAACGGCCGTTTCGAAAATCGAGTTACTTTTAATGATTTTTACCGATTATGCGGAATTTTCCTACTCTATTAGCATAGAGGTAACTCTAAGACCACTGGGTCCCGAAGAAAATCATTATTATTTTTGGCTCACTCAGTACCAGAACAACGGTCCCAAGCAGTCCCAAGCTATTTCACTCACCCCTGCATGTTCTGCATGAATCCACACACCCCTGATGTTATCTGTCAAACTTTCATAGCGAATCAAAACAAACATAGTGTAGTAATAGAATTTCAACTAGAATAGGGTACGTTAATCGTTTGCTTGGGACCAATAGGCTACTAAAGTGGTGAGCCAATTTAAAATCGTTAGTTTCGTATTGATTGTTGCTATTAGTGGCTATCAAGCGATGCTAAAGAATGGTATAAAAACCCGATTTGTTTACGTTTTGGACATAGGCCCATTTCAAATGTTACTCTAGATTTATCGGATTCATGTCGATGTTTTTCGTTTCCCGCATAAACGCGAACCATAAATTGACCTTACCTAAAATGGTTAAAAATTGTTTATAATCCCTGCTAAACTTTAACTGAAATGGTTATGGAACTTTACATGAACGTTTAATGATAAAGTTTCAACCTTATGTATTATGGTTTTTAGGAACTGGACTTTACAAATAATGGGTTGTTAAGAACCATTACCATTCCAAATTCTTGTTTTCTCCATACATTTTCAGAAAGAGAACTATATAAGAACGTTTTTACTTATGATTTGAGAACATTAATGGTAATGGTTATGATAGTCAGTAAGGTCCATTCATGGTTTTGTATTATCGCTCAACTTTACGTGGAATATATCGTGAATTGGTAATCAGTAAATTACAGGCAACCAATTCGCGATATATTCCACATAAAGTTGATCGATGTTACAAAACCATTCGTGGACCTTACTGACTACCATAACCATTACCATTAAAGTTCTCAAACCATAAGTTAAAAGGTTCTAATATACACACTATTTTTATTTCGCTGGAAACCAGCAAAACTTTGCTGGATTTTGCCGAGCTGGAAATCCAGCAATCCTTCCAGCAAAAAAAATATTGCTGGATAACCAGCAAAATAATCTGACATAAAAATGACAGAACTTTACTGTAGAACCAGCAAAATTTGTTGGTTGCTCAGTAATACAAAATAGGAATTTATTTTACTGTATAATCAGCAAAATTAGTGAAGTATTATTATGAGAAAAAATCAAAGATTTTATTTAATTCAAACTTAATTTATTTCATGCTTTAGCATCATAACTGTATTTCAAATTATGTAGCGATAAATTCAGTGAAAATGAAGAAATACTATCAAAAACGATAAAAAACGCCGACTAATTATCCACTTCCTTCTGCAAATGAATAAAAAAAGACGTCACATTACAGATGCACTGTTATAACGGATATTTGTATGCAAATGTACCTTTAATTATGATATTAAATCACATTCAATAGCAAAACACATTGAAAACTAGTATAAAACAATCAAAATAAATCAACAGGCATCAGGCATGCGATAAAGAATCCACTTACGAAATTGCAATCTATTTGACAGTTCCCGTATTTTACTGATCATCCAGCAAACAAACATGTTTGCTGGATTCACAGTAAATCTTAATTTTGCTGGACTCTGTTCAGCAATTCGTTTTGCTGGAAGGCTGATTCAAAATTTGGTGTGTAGTTCTCTTTCCGAAAATGTATGGAGAAAACAAGAATTTGGAACGGTAATGGTTCTTAACAACGCATTATTTGTAAGGTCCAGTTCCAAAAAACCATTATACATAAGGTTGAAACTTTACCATTAAACGTTTTAATATTACGTAAAATAAGATAAAGTTCACTACACTCAAAAATATTACAAAACGTGCACAGCAAAAAAATGTAATATCGATCAACGTAATTCAAGCTGATGTATGAAATAATGATGTAATAGCAATAAGGCGAAGAAATTATTTTTTACTTGATTTGTTTTCCGTGCTGAGCACCAATACTACACAGAAAAAAAAAGGTTGTTGAATATTACATCCAAACAGCTGCACAGAGGTCATTCCGTCGGTTGTGTAATATTACGTTGTACGATGTACATCGATTTTGCGAACAAAATGACATCTATTGATGTAATATTGTATCTGTTTTTTGCTATTACATCATTATTTCATACCGAGTTTCATACATCAGCTTGAATTAAGTTGATCGATATTATATTTTTTTTGCTGTGTACCGACGCCTAGGAGGCAGCTCCCACAGCTCGACCCATCAACTCATGAACCGGGGACCAACGGCTTTACTTCCCACGGCGTGATCAGAGATGCTATGCCTCAGAACATCCCGGTGGCGCTTACTGGGATTGAACCCAGGCTTGCTGGGGTGAGAGGTAATCACGCTTACCACTTAACCACCGGCACCGCTCCGTTTCTCATTGGTAGCCGAAGAGGTTCGGTAGAAAATCAAAACGAGTTTGGTATTATTTTCGAATGGTGGTAAGCTCCAACCGGGGGTGGCATTGCGCATCTCGAAACGAAAAACTTTTTCATACAAGCGTTCGTACAACATGTCTGTCGTTTCGAGATGCGCAATGTGCCCCCGGTATTATCCTCGGATTAAATCCCGATCAAGAATGTTCGACTACTTTGATGATGACGTTAGAGTTGATCAACACGACTCTAAGCAAACATTTTGTATATCATCCAAACAGGGACGGTATTAAAAGTTAATCCGAGATGGAGCTTATCACCATGAGTTTGTATCAAGGTGAGTACACTGATAAAATTTCAAAGATTGTTTTTATGTGTCCCACATATGGATTTTTGTAATGTGAACAACAAATGATATCTATGTATCGGACATATACTTAATATGTGTACATATTAAAGCCATGTGTAACCACACATACTATTCATTTGACTCATAAATTTCATGTGTGCTTCTGGGTGGATTCTGTTTATGCGTGGTCACATGAAAATCATGTGGAATTTCACATGAAAATTAGTCAATCAAAATGTGTAATTGTATTAGTGTAGGAATTGCATGCGGAGACGGTTTTCTGCAGCCCAGTGGCAGGCGCGTAGGCAACATGTTATACGGTGACAGCGGGCCCAGCACACCAAAATAAATTATTTGAGCCCGGGACATGCTGCCTACTGTCAAACGCTGCTGTTGATATAGGCCTTGTCACTGGCCTGGTTTTCTGTCATATTCAGCTCCACTCTTAAATGAATCTGGAGCAGGTAATTTCATTTTAATGAATACATATAAAAAACAAACTTCTCGAAAATGTCACAGAGTGGTTTTAACTCACTCTGCGCGAAAACGTAGTTTCCTCAAAAGTGAGTAAAAGTGCACCTACTCACTTTTGAGTAGCCATACTTCCCGCAGAAATGAGCATGTTCGACTCAATTTTGAATTGTTGCGAGTTACCGTGTTCTCATCAGAAAATCTTAGAATTTAGTACATCAGTGCTAACATTTGAAAACGGCGCAAAAGCCATTTGTAAACAAATGGTTTGTGGGCCCTTTACTCGCTACCCGAAGAACGCCCACGCAAACCAACAGCATCGTCAGGAAGGGGAAAATTTCCCCTACCCGATGTTGCTGTTGTGTCGCGTGGGTGTACTTCAAGTAGTGAGTAAAGGGCCCACAAACCATTTGTTTACAAATGGCTTTTGTGCCGTTTTCAAATGTTAGCACTGTCATGTTCTAAAACAAACAAACGCGTCACTTGTCAAAGTTTTTATTCAGTGATTGGAGTTTTTTGCAAATCCATTTCCAGAACAGAATTTTAGGAACAAAATCGAAATAAGTTTTATTTAGTGCATCTTCTTTAATGAATATGTTAATTGATTTATCATCCAATGAATATCATTGAGCTGATATGCTATTGTTCATATGATTGTCGATTAAAAGAGAACTAGAATGCATAAAACGCAGCGTCTCCGTCGAATCAAAACAAAGAAGTAGTGCAACAAAAATTGCATTTCCAAAAATAGCAACAATTGCATTTGGAAGTGCAGAAGAGTACCTGAACCACAAGGTGTTATTCTACTGGTGGGAGGAAGGTTTTGTTGATGTGTATCACTTGCTTGCATTGGACACCGTCACCAATGGCACAATCATTCAGTTGGTAAGAGCAAGAGAGTGAATTGAACAGCACTTTTAAGCTTACATACAGACAAACGCATTCGGGTAAATGTACGCGCGTGAATGAATTAATCTAATCTTCATGATATAGTTTGTCGTCAACTCACTTGCTACCGAGTAAGGGAAGTTTCTTCGTATGTATATAATAAAAAAAAGTCAATTGATTCAATCGCTTGGGAACAAGTTCAGGTCAATCAGTTAGTCCAGTTTTTCAGAGCACAGTGAGCATAGATGCAGCACCAGGAGCAAAATTAAACGATTTAACATGAAGTTTAACGCTCGTCGAAATGAGTCAAACAAATTTAAGACGACCACTGTGTTCGGTTTGAACAGTTCAATTTGCTCGTTCTCCGAGTTCGCTACCTAGTTGACTTTTATTTTGTGGTATGTACGGGTGCATTTGCGCGCAGCAATGTCGGAGCGTAGTGTTTAGCATTCTTGTTTTCGTCTGGAATGGAAATAGTACACCGTAGTTGTTTGCAGTTTAAAAAGCTCTATAACACGCCTGTTTGTCCATAATTGATGTGTCATTCCGTAATCAATATGCGGCTGTGAGTGGATTTAATATTTAAAAATATCAAAAGTCACACAACCTTTTATCATTTACCATTTTATTATCGCCGTTTTCTATTTACTAGGTACCATCACAATCACCTTGGTTCAACAAAAACCGACGATCAATTGAAGGCTAAATCAGTTCCTCTGTGTTCGGTGAATGATGTTCAGTTGCGCTTCCTCTGCCCGGATGATTTGGAGGAAGTGCGAACGCTATGCCAGGACTGGTTCCCGATCGATTATCCGTTATCGTGGTACGAGGATATCACATCCAGTACGCGATTCTTCGCATTGGCGGCAGTTTATAATTTCACGATCATCGGACTCATTGTAGCTGAAATCAAACCATACACCAAGCTAAACAAGGAGGTATTTTTTTTTTATTTAATCATGTTTTTTAGAAGTGCTCACTTTGATAGTGAAAAGTGTTTTTGTGGGAAAGGCCGATATTCGACTGATGAATCGTTTAACAAAACAAGGAGATTTCAATTTCTTTGAAATGGATTGCTGAATCAAGATCAGTAAACCGATTATCAGCAAACGATATTTTTACCGAAAAGTTCTGCTAACATGAACGGTTTTAATCAGGCTTACAATTGCTCATTACAGCTAAAATGCTATTTTTCGGTATTATGAAACTATGGGATACAATAATGATAATTTTTTTGTAAGATGCAAGAAGAGGTGGTTAAGTTTGTATATGACCCATAAAATTTGTCAATTTTGATTTCAGAAGGTAACAACTAGCGATTAGCTGTAACGATGAGTGAGCAATCAGCGATCATAAAATCGCTAGTTGTGACCTTCTGAAAGCAAAATTGACAAATTTTATATGTCATGTACAAACTTTACCAACTCTTCTTGCATCTTACGAATAAAAAATACCATTATAGTATCCCATTGTTTCATAATACCGAAAAATAGCATTTTAGCTGTAATGAGCAACTGCAAGCCTGGTTTTAATCCCAGTAAAGATATGTCAAACTGATAGCGTTACAGTTCCAAGTATTTTTTTCATACGTGGTGTGGATTAAGGATTGGGATTTTCCGATTCCCTCTTTTTTAATACAGTTAGGCAGAGTTGGCAACGGTCAGTTTGGTCAGTGACGTTTGACGAAAACCAAAAATAAATTGCCGCGGTACAAAAACCATCATTACAACGGCGCCGGTGGTGTAGTGGTATAAGCGTGATTACCTCTCACCCCAGCAGGCCTGGGTTCAATCCCAGTCGGCGCCGCCAGGATGTTCTAAGGCATAACATCTCTGATCACGCCTTCCTTCGGATGGGAAGTAAAGCCGTTGGTCCCCCGTTCATGAGTTGATGGGTCGATAGGTAGGGTCCAGGTGTGGGAGCTGCCTTCCTGGCACGTCGGTAGCATTGGTGCTCAGCACGGAAAACAAGATCGACGGAAAAAACAAACCAAAGGAAAAAAAAACCATCATTTCCATGCATCCTTCGTCATTGACGAAGATAAACCGACAAAAATCCCTTTGAACAAATCGTATCGCATCTTTTACCTTCACTCCTCTTTTTTCTATCATGCATGAACAATGGTTAAGACACAAGTCTGTTGATCTCAACGTTGCTGATTCGAGTCCGTTTTGTACCCATTTTAAGTTTTTTGTGTTGTTTCCAACAATCATCTTTTTTTGTCAAACAATACGGAACGGCTGACTAAAACGTGCAGACAGATCTGAAAGAGAGAAAGAGAAAAAGAGAGAGAGAGAGAGAGAGAGAGAGAGAGAGAGAGAGAGAGAGAGAGAGAGAGAGAGAACGAACTGAGCTAGTTTTTTTTTCACGTCGTAAAGGAAAGAGGACTGTCGTCTGTCTTTATACGGAATTTGTCATGCGCTGCGTGGAGTGCGACGAAGATAGTAATACATAAAGAGCCTGAATTTATAAAGAGACGACATCTTATCCATTTGACAGGTCTTCTGCTCGATTGGAATGACTTTTCATATGACTTCGACAGACAATCGATTGTTCCAATTTTGACATGTCGCCTCTTTATAAATTTAGGCTCTTTAGTAATACAATATTTTTCATCACTGACTTTGCTCTCTCTACGTTGATGATAGACAGCCCTGCAGTTAGGTACCCACATAAACGCGAAACATATTTGTAATCCCTGCTAAACTTTAACTGAAATGGTTATGGAACTTTACATGAACGTTTGTGTGATAAAATTTTATTTTTTGTATTATGGTTAGAAATAATGGGTTGTTAAGAACCATTACCATTCAAAATAGTTGTTTTCTCCATACATTTTCGGAAAGAGAACTATATTAGAACGTATTTACTTATGGTTTGAGAACTTCAATGGTAATGGTTATGGTAGTCAATAAGGTCCATGGATGGTTTTGTATTGTCGGTCAACTTTACCTGGAATATATCGCGGATTGGTTGGTAATCATTAATTTACAGGCAACCAACCTATGTTATTGAATAACACTTGCCCTCAATAAAATGACATATTGATTTAATTATTTGCTAGATACCTTCCACTACCTCCGCCTCGAATGATGCCGGTCGAGTGGAGATTATTACAATGCTTTCCCGATTTTGTCAACCCCTCTCAAATTTTAGGCTGACAAATCGGGAAAAAACCCTATTATTCAGACTACAGAGTTATCACATGTTATAACGGTTGTCAAATAATTGCAAACCACCATCAAGATAGTGCTATAACATGTTATAACTCTGTAGTCTGAACAAGGCATGAGGGAAAACGAAGTTTTGTATTAGAAGAATTATTTTACAAGAAAGAAAAAAACCAACAAATATTGCAGATTTTGCACCTTATTAGTCTTTAGACTTCTGCGCTTAAAAAAAGTAAATAAGTCATATTTTCACACTGGTTATAGAATTTAAAACATTGAACTTCTTAAAATTGTATAGAGCTTGTATTCATAATGGGATTTGTTCAATGTTTAAAATAATAAGTTTATTGAGTAGTTCTTGAGTTTTTATCACTCAACGAAAAAAATAATAATAAAAGTTTTGTTTGAGAATTTAGCTTGCAATTGCAATTGCTTACAGTTTTATACGTAAAAAAAAACATTTAAAAAGTATGTTGTCGTTTCATCATTAGCTTCACCAATATGCCTCGCGAGAAATGCAAAAATATTGTATTCATGACCACATTGATGAATTAAAACCTAAAATGATTTAATTTTTGTTCGATTTAATTATCGCCACGATTACAATACTTCCACTACATACATCTATAAAGAAACAGTCATGCTCGATTGGCTTCCTCAAATTACAGGTCAAATTGGCTCCCCTAATTGTCTCCGCCAGACTTTTAATTAAACCTTTAGTCAAAAGGTCGAATGACCCAAAGAGAAACAAAAGACGAATAGACTAAACGTCGAATGGTGAAAAAAGTAAAAGGTTATATTCAAGACACGACCGTAGATTTGACGTAGGATTACGAAAGGTAGTTTTGATGTCTCAGCAAAAGTATACACGTAGAAAAATGGATTTTTGTTTCAGGGCCTAATGTATTTTGTTATTGATTCAAACATATTGTATCACTGTTGGCGCGTTCAAGCCAGCGCGCCTCTACTGTAGCTTGGGTTTGACCATCGCGTAATACGCAATACGCACCGGCCTTGACAGTTCGTCGTATCACAGTAGTAGTGAGTGAGAATAACCACATAAAGGAAAGATACCCATAGAAAGTGAAAGTTCCATACAGTAAAATCTACTGATTAATTTTATATTTAAACTTATTATATTCAACGCTAGGTGAAATCCTATTTGTGGCAGTCTTATGTAGGTATAAGGTAGTATTTAAAATTAGTACATTGAACTATAATTGGATCATTTTGATAGTGAATCTCAAAAGATGTTTTTCTACATAATTACCTATAACCTGAAATTGTGTAATCTTTATCGGATGCTAAAAGGTAAAATTTGAATTTAATGATAATTTGTTTTAAAACCTACTTACACCTAAATAATTTATAATAATTTATACGGGCAGCTAGTACAAGGTTAAATCATATAATAGTACGGCCTACTCGTACCGATAGAACACCTTTGAACACCGGATACGATTTCTGATCACAGATCGCACACAATAGAACGGACTAAACGTAAGTTAATAAATTAGGTGATAGCATGCTAACTTTGAGTATGATGATAACATTATGTACCAGGATATAATCTAAAACTTGCATGTATCCCGTTGCAGGAAAATAATACTGCGCAACTCAAACATAAATCCTAACTATCGGTCGTCGCTCTGTTTTATTATTATTTCGGAAATCATCCCGTCCGGTAATCTGTTGGCAATTTCCAACAATCACTATTTCAACAAAACATATTTTTGAATCAACAAAATGGTTTTTAGAATCAACAAACAGATTATTGACTCTACAAGCAGTTTGTTGATTCACACATATTTTTCTTTGAATTAACCGAATTATATTTTAGAATCAATACCAAAAATATGTTAGACCCTGAGCCAAAAATATATCCATTTGAATTTAAAAATCATTTCTCTGCGTGTAGTATATATTAAATTGATTTCTTTACTCGTTATCAGTGAAAAAGTTTGATAGGTTGAAATTCGGAAGCAATTTGAGAGTTCTGTTTGTGAGGTGCTCTGTCGATGTCAATGTAGTACAAGCCAATCCTGGACGATATGTCTTGGATACAAGCTCTTACTCTTTAGTTAACTATTTTATCAGTCATTTGTGGTCCTGAAAATGACCGATGGGTTATAAGCTTGGAAGCCAGTTTAGAGCAATGCTGTGGAAATTTGTCCTTGATGTTCTTGGAGATGGTAACGGTGCGGAAATGAAATATGTATTAGGTACAGGGCGGTACCTACGTTTATGCTTTTTGATGAAAATTTTAAGCCTCTTTTTAGCTCAGTCGGTAACGGCGCAGCTACAAAACAAGACCATGCTGGAGGTGGCTGGGTTCGATTCCCGGTCCGGTCTAGGAATTTTTCGGGTTGAAAAATTTCTCGACTTCCCTGGGCATAGCGTATAATTGTACTTGCCACACAATTATACTAATGCAAAAATGGAACAGGCATCGAATGCTCTCAATTAATAATAATAAACTAATATTCGATATGCGATATGCATTAAGCTTGAAATGCGAAAAAGAAGAAGATGAACAGAATTCGACAAGATTTTTTTGCATAGTTCTCTTAATAGCAGGGGCTTAAAATTTGCAACAAAACGCATAAAGTTAGGTGCGGTCTGGGATTGCGGTCAAGCATGTGCTTGGAATCAATATTCGGCGACTGTGTTAGGGAAACAACTTTTCCCATCACGGAAAGGCCTCGTTTTCTGATGTCAAAATTAAGCATTTTCTTGCACAAAACGTTCTGTGCGTTTTGTTGACGTTGATTTATTCAATAGGTAATAAAAAAAGGCGAAAATTGATTGGAGTAATTTCTTGAGATTGTTTTGCTTTTTTTAGCGTTCTGAAGAAAACTTTACAAAGTGTTTCTGGTTATTCGACATGGTCATGTGGTTTTCGGTCATTGGGCGGTGATTGAATGAACAGCGTTCGTTGAGACCGAATGCAATTCATTTTTGAATTCTGTGTTTGGGAAATTGCTTTTCGCATGCAATTGGTGACCATTTTACGATACGATCATAGCAATACTTGCACATTCGTGGAATTTTCAATTGTGACATTTTGAAAAATGATAAATCCTCAGATTCGTAGAATAATTTCCTATCGATTTGCGTATTCAGAATTAAAATCGATCATCTCTGGATCAAAATCAGACCACTTTCATGCCGCGACCGACTTTGGATTCTGAAATTGCACTGCCAATGTTGCCTTAAAAATATATGATATGTTAGATTTTAACATATGGGAACTGACATCCGATTGATGACCTTGAGAAATGTACAACTAATACTCTTTATGAAATGTATAGTGGTCCTGAAAAGGACCGTTTTGTCGGGATGGTTGAGTTATGCTGAGCTATTCGGATGTTCAACACGGATGAGGCTGGCGAGCTGTACGTTGTTTGGAACGAGGGAGACGCGCTTGACATAGATGACCCACTGCGACTCACGAAAATGGATCCCGATCAGTAGCGGTGAGGCTTCTTCCTCCTTCTTCGGTGAATGGACTCATGTGTGCTGCAGCCACAGCTTGCGGGCAGTCTTTCGTTGTGTACAATGTTCAACGCTACGCGCCGAAAGCACTGCCACCACCACACACGGTGATCGAATAAGCACCGTTCAGGAAGACAGGATCGAATTCGATTTTAAAATCTGTGTTAGGGAATGCGCTGTTTGCAGGCAATTGGTGATAATTTTGATCACTATTGCAACAGTTAGACATTTGTGTAATGTTCAGTAGTGACCTATTGAAAATTAATAAAGTGTTCAATTCAGCAGATTCGTAGCAAAATTTCTAATCGATTGGCTTGTTTAGAATTAAAATCCATTCGCTATTGGCAGATTTATATGTGGTCAAAACCTGACCACTTTTCGTAATGCGGTCGATTTTGGTTTTTTGAAATTGCACCCCCAATATGTTGCCGAAAGACGTAATCCTACGTCAAAAGATTGAATGGACAAACGGTCGCATAATTAGAAGGGAGACAAAAGGTCGAATGGTCCAAAGATGGAAGAAAGGTCGACACAAATATGGAAAACAATGTACACAGATATTTTAAGAAAATATAAGAACATTATATTTCTTACAAACAAGCATAGTTCTGTCGAATAACAATGTTTTTTATGGTTTATGCTACTTAGTATTACGAGTATCATTATTTTCCTTCTTTTCATCTCTGCTCGTTTTTTTCTTCTTATAACCTCTGGTTGCATCCTATATCCTATGTTTTTTTTTAAAGCTGATGTTGAATCAATCAGTTTACAAGTTTATTGCAGATTGTATACCGTGGACCGCCGTTAATATAAACGACACTTCGTGCATATTACCGTGGTTCATTTTTAATTTGAACTTCTAGTAATCCTATGGCTATCAGAAAAGTTCCTGTTCCTATTGATCGTGGACATACATGTGGGTGTGCTGTCGTTCAGATGAATGAATTTGGAAGGTTCCAAGATGCTGTTGAGCAGGTTTCCTTTTAAGCAGTTGTTCGAGCTGGGATCCCATCTTCGATGGTAACTGTTGAAGTCACCTCTGATGAGAATTTTACCTTCCATGTGGTTCAGGAGTTTTCGAATATTTCCTCTAATTTCTCCGAAGAGATTACGTCCAGGGAGAACGTGTACAGAGATCAACGTGTGTGGAGTAAACCCACCGACAAACCTACACGAATGAACATAGCTAAAACAATAATATTTAACTAAGCCATGAACCGGCATGCAAAAGTTATAAATTGGTTCGTGTCTGATCTATTCTGTGCAAATTATTTTAATCTAGATAAAAAAAAATCCTATAGTTTTGACGGTTCGGACCACTGCACATTTGAATCGGCTGTTTACGGGCATAAGTCAGAATTAAGTGTCATGTCGGTTTGTTGGTGGTAAAACCTCTGGTTATTCTGATCCCTATGTAAACGTCAAACGCAAGGGAATTAGCTATGCACGCCACAGGTGGCAGTACTACCAACTACGATACTTTTAAATTTACGGTTAAATCGAAGACAACAAATTAAGAAGACTGGCAACTTTGTCAGAATCCAAGCGACAGATACAGTAGCGCTGCACTTGAGTGAAGGTGGAAGCAACGCATAGAAAAATGAGCAAATACACAAACCCTTCTTCTCAGGATGTTATCTTTGCTATCAAATTCGTTCGAAGCATTTACCTTTGAGCGGCAGATGACGCGATTGTACCTGCCTCATAGCGTTTGTATGAGAAAATGGAAGAGTTGCCAGTCTTCTTGATTTGTTGTCTTCGATTAAATGTTTGATCGATGACCAACTTGCGAGTGTTATGTCTGTTTGTCTGTGCTTAAACCTTGCTCTAATACAGCCATTCCATAGCAAAACGATATAGTGGTTATCAGAATTTCATAAGAATTTTTAGTTTTGTTCCTTATCGCAAAACATTAGACCCGTATTTTTTTTTGTCGTTAAGTTCAGCATTTACGTGTTAAGGTCGTCAAAAAAAAAACGTTTTTTTTTTCAAAATTCATTATTTTTTATTTCAAAGATCAAAATATCAAATAAAAGGTAATTAAAAATACTTTTTAGGAAAAATATTATTATGTTAAAAAATTGGACTTTTGCATTGAAAACATTGATTGTATTTGTTTTTTTTATGGTTTTCATGGTTTGTAGACAGCGGCGCCGGTGGTGTAGTGGTGAAAGGCCTGGATTCCATCCTAGTCGGCGCCGCCAGGATTTTTTGAAGTAAAGTAAAGCCGTTGGTCCCCGGTCTATGAGTTGATGGGTCGATAGGTAGGGTCCAGGTGTGGAAGCTGCCTCCCTGGCGTCGGTAGCATTGGTACTCAGTACGGAAAACAAGATCGACGAAAAACAAATTAAGAGAAAAAATGGTTTGTAGACAGAGGGCGCAATATGTTTTTATATTTTCCCTTGAAAATTTAGGCTTTTTACACAATGTATCAAACAACCGATGTGTTTTTTTTTTCGTTTTTGACTAATATTTTTTTGAAGTTATCAAGTTTTGGGTTGTCGCTTAGTACTCCAATGTAACTAGACTACCTTGCGTTTCCATTGAGTTATAGCGACTACTAGTTTACTAGACTAGTAGAATACTAGACTAAAAGAAATTATCCAGAAAGCAACACTGGGGGAATAATAACTGATGAAGTCGTGTTGCCAAAAACGCGAAAGCACTGTATTTTTTTAATACTAGCTGAGTGTGCCCGGCCTTGCTCGGGATTCCATATTAGCTTGAATTTATGCGCCAATTATAAAAAAGCATGCTATATTGTACATTGCCCCCATCTTATCTAAGGGGCTACCCCCTATGACCTCCACATGCCAAATTTGGTTCTATTTGCTTGATTAGTTCTCGAGTTATGCAGAAATTTCTGTTTCATTTGTATGGGAGCCCCCCTTAAAGAGAGGGGAGGGGTATCGAACCATCATAAGAACCATTCCCTGCCGCAAAAAACCCTGCATACAAATTTTCACGCTGATCGGTTCAGTAGTTTCCGAGTCTATAAGAGCCAGACAGACAGACAGACAGACAGAATTTTTTTTTTTTTATATATAGAAGATAGATAGGACATCCAGGCCTCATCAAGAAAAATGCCCTAATTACGCCTAGCGTATACATTTCTCAAGGAATCATAATGATAATGAGAAGATGATGATGAAGAAGAAGTAAAAACAAATAAACAACAAAGTTGAAGGGGGCCTCTTCATTTGTTTTCACAAACCATGCTTCTCCATAAGACAATGAGGTTTGAAGGAAAATGATGCACAGGGAAGATTGAACGTGATAAAGATGCACTTTGTTGAATTCGATATTAAATCTCTATTAATTCCTATTCTCGTATATTTCGTTTTAGGATCGAGGAATCCTGTCGGAATCAATGGGTCGTGACGCTGATATAGGATATATCCTGTCGTTGGGCGTTCATCGCAAGTACCGTCAAAACGGTATCGGATCTCTGTTGCTAGATTCCCTCATCAACCACCTAACGACGGCCGAGCGCCACAAAGTGAAAGCCATATTCCTGCACGTGCTAACCACAAATCAAACCGCCATACTTTTCTACGAACGACGAGGGTAAGTTGGTCTATTAATTTATAAACAATTTCAACCCAGTTTCTAGGAAAATGCTTTCGTAATAGGTTCGTTCTTCACTCGTTCCTGCCTTACTATTACTCGATTCGGGGGAAGTGTAAAGATGGCTTTACGTACGTATCGTACCTTAACGGAGGTCACTCGCCGTGGACGTTATAATATCCTTTTCAAAATTTGGAACATACCTATCTTCAAGTATTTACTGGTTGCAAGTGTTTTGGCTTTAATTGGTAGTTGAGCATGCTTACACATTAACATTTTAATCGCGCCGTCATGCACTTTACGGTATCGTATCATTGTTAAACGTTTCCATTTTCTAATCAAGCTTTGCGGTACTCTGTTTGTCACTATTTTAATTATAATCGCATGCGTTTGTTTTTATTTTAACATATGAAGTGAGTTGTATTGCTTCCAATAGTTACTAGTAAGTGATAAAAGTGCAAGAATTAATGTTATGTTTTACGAGATATTATTGTATGCTCGCACGTTTGTTTTTTGGTTTTATGGAATTGAAAATAGATAATAATAATTATGCTTAAGATTCGCTGAGTTATTGTTTTATTCATTTTCACCTTTTATTTTATCGAACATACTTTAACAGTCTGGAAAATACCACATTATACAACTTATTTGCTCTAGATAAGTATTTAATTTCAGACCTATTATCATAGAAGTTATTATATAAAACATTCGGAATCATAAGGGCCTGACTGCAGTGATCAATCTTCTTACTCTTTTGTTAGTTACTCGGCTAGATTAACATTTCGCGGTGCGTTTACTCAGTTTACTGTTGCTTTGCTCACTTAACTATAGTTATTCAAAGATTATCGATCATCGTAGTTAGGCGCTAATGATTTTGAACGCTAGATACATCTTTTTTAATAAAGTGCTGTCAAATTAATCCTTATTTTCTAATATCAATTATATCAATTACCAGTTCAGAGATGTTCATAAACTACGTACAGTTTCAGAGGGATTTTAGACTCTCTTTTTAAAATTCATATGAATCTAATTACTTATAAATGCACAATAGTCCCATGTGAATCTTTGATGAAAATGAGAATTTGGAATCTACTGTTGACACATTCTACCAATAGACAGTGTTTATTTCGATAGCTTTATGCAGGGAAATTAGTCAGATTTAGTCTTGAACAATTCTTAGTTTTTATGGACTCCTTTTTTACAGAGCGAATTGAATTCATTCACGTTTGCGCTTTGTGCATTCACGAATCCATCGAAGCTATATATAGTGTCCTGCGCCGCACTGAAATACACATTCTGTGCGCCATCAAAGCAACCAGTTTTTTTTCTCTTTTATTCTGACATTTTCATTTTTCTTCCGTTCATACAGTCTATTTATAGACTAGACAGTTTAGGTATATACTAAAAAGGGTCTCCTCTCGTCTCAAGTATAGACATGCGGCTGCGAAACCCGCAAATTTGGTAACCGAAAACAATTGTTTCAAATTTGGCTACACTTAAACATGTTCAATCGATTCGTGAGTCATCACAAAAATCAAGACAATCCGGTTATTACAAATTTGGAATGAGTGATAAATTTCCTTTACAAACTTATCAAGAGTTTATATCAATTTTTCTTTAACTATTTATGTTTGTATTACTTTTGCGTGAAGTTAATGATTTACATAGTTGAAGATGCTTATTTCAAATAACAGACTAAAGTGGTAATTTATATGGGATAGATGAGGAGATGAAAGTATACAGTTGATAGTTACGTTAGAGTACCGCAATCTATTCAGCATACTGGGACGATGTTTTACAGTGAGAAATATTCAATGTGTTATGTCTGTTTGTCTGTGGTAAAACTATGTTTCATTCAATCAGACCTCATGGAAAAAAGTCAACAAAGTTTCGGCTTGCTGAGCGACTGTTCTTGAAATTTTGCCTTTTCCTATATTTTTGAACTTTACTCATAAAATAGCATTCATAAGGGCAATGATCGATTCTCTTCATCGATTTTTTCTTATGTTCATAACTCGTTTGGATTAACATTTCTCGGTGCGTTTGCTGTTACTTAAATTTAAATTACATAAAAAAGCGTATTAGCATAAAGTTCAAAAATTTGTCAAAAGTTCTTGTTCTACGATCTAAAAAAAATATATAGAGTTTGAGTATAATTTCTTCGAGATATTTGAGTTTGTGACACTTTTTGGAATTACTCAAAATTACTTTAAAAAAAGTTCCATGTTTATTTTTCCCAGAAAGATTTTATTTTTTTTTCTACAACTTTGTCTCACGTCATTTCGATCATGAGGGAAGTTGTTCTGTTTTAATTCAAGAAGGATGCTTTTATTCAAGAAGTATGCTGTCAGATGCACAAGAGTTGCGAATTCACTACCACGCGGCGCTAGTGTAACATTTTAGCATAGGCCTTCAGATGAACAAGACGAATGGAACAATAAAGTTTAGATATCGCAGCGCTAGTATAACATTTGACTAATTACTTGCTCTAACTTGAGAGTTCATCCAGATAGGGTGTTTTCATTGGTAAAATTGTTCGTATGGACAATGCCTGATGCTGAACATTAATGTTGGGAATACCAGCCCACGTGGCCAGTGATGCCACATATCCAGATTTATCTATTTCGACTTTTAATGTTATGAAATGTAAATAAAAACAAATGCACACGCTTGATTCTGACTGTGATGCTAATTTCCGCTCGTAATGCATAAGCTTTTTCCATGTAAAATATTAAAATTCAATAAAGCCTGCCCATTGGTTTCATTAATTTGACCTATTACTGGCGGTTTATCAAAGATTGTAAGTATTTTAAATAAGCGCTTGAAATCACTTTATGCTTTGGCGATAAAATGAACAGTTCATAATGTGTACATTTTACCTCCAGCACTGGTTCAAATTACCCCCTTTTTATGTTCATTTTCTCCCATTACATGTTCATTTTACCCGCATACATAAAATCAGCTTTGTATTGAGAGATGTTGAAAATACAGGAATTATGAAAATTTTTAGGCTTAGACATTGTAGTTATCTATATAAATGGCAGCTTTACTGTTTGACATACATCCAAACCCAAATGTTGAGGTATTTAGTGTTATGTGCATGTTTTCTCATTGCTAACAAATCATTAACAGCATTCACTGTGTCGTGTTCGCTTTTGGTGTGCCCTGTTATTTATTGCTTTTAAAGAGAGTAAACAAAAATACCCTTAACCAACGGCTATACTGATCATCTGAAGTATTGGTGCTCGTTGGTGGTAACTGCTGGAGGACTTTGCTCCTGGCTTAGCGGACGCATCCGGACTGCATTTCGTTGGGTTTGTTATCGTACCATATAGAGGTTCACATTCACGCAGGACAACTAGAGTGGCAAAGCAGGTCTTCTCCAATCGTTCTCCTCCAGCCCCGGTTATTCGTTTTAGTCAAATATTTAGGTTCGGCAGAGCACAAATCTTGAATTCACGATAGGCGAAAAAATGACATGTTGCGCAAACTGTAGGCGCATCGGTTTTAAATTATCACATATTTAGATTCTAGCAAATGCAATTGTTGACCAATAATTATTTATTTATATTTCCGTTTTGTAAGTAGAGTTTTAGGTACGATATATGTATATTTGATGCGACATATCCTCATTTTATTTTAAATGACAATCCAACCGATAGTTGAATAATATAATACAAGTTGAAGCTATAGACACGCATAGTAATAGACCCGCTAAGGGGCCGTTCATAAACTACGTAGACAGTTTTTTGGAATTCTTGACCCCCCTCCCCCTGCGTAGACAATTGTCCATACAAAAGTTTTAAAATTTGTATGGGCCGTGGATAATTTTCAACCCCCTGCCCCTCTCTAAACTGTCTACATAGTTTATAAACAGCCCCTTATGTGAATCTGATGTATCCAGAAAAACTATGAACGCCAGATGATTTTTTTTTGTAAGTTTATTTTTGCCAATACCCGACGCTACGTTAGGAAAGCAACTCTATCTATAATCTATCAACATATGAGAAAAGACCAACGGCTTTTCCTCTGTCCTAAGGAAGACGTAATCAGAGATTTGTTTTCAGAACCACTGGGGAAAGAATAAGTCGCCCTTGTAATGGATTACCGTCAGCTGCAGGCATGGAAAATCATTTGCATTCATTTCATACATTCATTTACATTCATTTGCCTCTAACTTTTTTCTTCAACAGCATTCCGCAAAATGATGCATAGAGCTTTTGTAGTTTTGTTATTAGCTACAACTTTTGTTGATAAGTCAAATCCGTATCTCTTATGCATGACGAAGCAGAGCGAACAGAGCCACTACTGTTTTTTAGTGAATGTATTTTACATTCACTGAAAAACAGTAACAAGTTCTGCCCGCTCTAGTTCGTGATGCATAAGAGATACAGATTTGAGTTATGAGCAAAACTTGTAGCTAATAACAAAACCTACAAAAGCTCTATACATCATTTTGCTGTTGATGAAGAAAGTTAGAGGAAAATGAATGTAAATGAATGTATGAAATGAATGCAAATGATTTTCCATGCCTGGTCAGCTGTCAGTTTCACCTTTATGGGGAAAAAGTAATTAAAACAAAAAATGTATGTATGAAGATTTCATATGTTTTGTAAAGAATTTATATTTTAGAAGCGAAGCAAGGGAACATTTTTGGTACATCAGGTCGGTAAAAGTTAATGCTATTATGTGTACCAAATATTGTATTCGAAAAAAGTTCTAATTTGGTGAAAATCATAATTTCGGGGTTTTTTGCATACAAAATAAATCGGCGTTACTTTTTTTTTACTAGCGACATCTATTACGAAAATCAACCATGCTGGTCAGCGGCGCCGGTGGTGTAGTGGTAAGTGTAATTGCCTCTCACCCCAAAGGGCCAAGGCCTGGGTTCAATCTCAGGCATAAAATTTTCAATCTGAGGAATAAAATCTCTAATCACGCCTTCCGGGAAGTAAAGCCGTTGGTCCCCGGTCCATGAGTTGATGGGTTGATAGGTAGGGTCCAGGTGTGGGAGCTGCCTCCCTGGCGTCGGTAGCATTGGTGCTCAGTACAGAAAACAAGATCGACGGAAAACAAATAAAAAAAAAATCACACTTAGAAATTAACGTCAACTTCGGTATTTTTTTACTATCTCATAAGCAAGTTAGTTCAGCTCGGTAATATTTAGGCAATACAATTAAATTATTTTAACAGCATAATTGTCCCGTTGTCGAGAAGCAAGCTTGCTCACATCATCGACGCAGTTTGCAGGCTTGGTACTCTGAGAGTTAAAGCTACTGTAAAACGAAATCCATACTATAACTACCAGATTTGATAATTTTCATAAGATCCATTATGTTTTGAAATTAATGTTGAACAAAATACTCTTAAAAATATCGGTCAAGTTTTTACCGAACGTTATGCTGGTCAGATTTCGGTAAAAAAATTAACGAACATGACAATAATTTCTGAGAGTGATTGTAATAAAAGAAGTGAATTGATTTTAAAACTCAATCCCCAAAGTTGCATATGAGCGACATGAACATATGTTTAGCTGTATATGATTGTGTTTTGCGTATAAAACTAAAAAAGCATTAAGGGGCTGTTCATTAACTACGTAGACAGTGTTTTGGGATTCTTGCCCCCCCCCCTCCCGTGTAGACAATTGTCCATACACATTTTTTTAAATTTGTATGGGTTGTGGATAATTGCCAACCTATCCTAAACTGTCTACGTAGTTAATGAACAGCCCCTAACATGATTGGCCATCCTTGGTCAGCAGTATGATTGACCACCTACAGCAAAAAATGTAAACTTATCAAACGTATTCATGCTGATGCATCAATGAAAACATACAGTCTATTAGATTACTAATACTTTTTTTCAAAATAATGCACCCTAATGTGCACCTGTTTCGACTTTTTCATTTATTTTTTGCTGTGCAAGCAGGGTATCAAAACACTGAGAGCAAGCAACAATATAGACAAAACACATTGTCATGACAATCTCCCTCTGCAACATAACTTGATCGGAACGGTGGAAGCTTGTTTGCAACACACGCGGTGGCTGATGCTTATGTTATGTCATTCCCCTGTTCCGATCAAGCTATGTCAACAACCGCGTTTGTTACAGACAAACTATCTAACAATTTTATCTTTGATGCTTGCCGTTAAGGGACACCCGCATTAGATCCGGACTGATTCGTTGCGGCAAAGTGACAGCTAAATCTATTGTCTAACTGTCAAGTTTACATCAACGCAACACAAACGGATCTAATGCGGGTGGCCCTTTACTGCTCACCCATTATTATTTCGCTCGTATGTGGTATGTGATTTTGTCATGATAAAGACATTTTTGATTCCCTTTGTGCAAGTAATAATGACGTTTATTTCTGAAAATCATTTATTTCTGCAGGTCGTTTACCATGGATGTTTATAGTCGATGCTTTGCATGATCGAGAGTAAACCAAATTTTATTTTTAAATATTCAGTTATGATTCTCTTGGTGAATTGTAATGTACATGCTATAAAAATTGAAGCATTTAGTTTCATATCAATTGCCTTATTCACTTATCATACCGGTGGTACACATTAAATTGGCCTTTAATTTTCTAAAACAAAAATAGTCTGATATAACTATATATAAAATAATTGGATTCCTCCTAAGTTATCGCAAAAAAAAAACAAACAAGAAGATAAGAAGTAACAATGCCAGAGTTGTGAAATTGTAGATGCAAGCGACTATTCGTGATAGTCTCTGAACAAAGTTGTATCATACCTATTCAAATGAGTATTTCGCAGATGAAAGACCTTCCCTCGATATTGGAAAAAACAAATAACTCTAATTAGTATGTATTGAATCAAGGGATTATTTATTAAAAGATGTGAGCATGAGTTGTGCTCTTAAGAAGAGAATTTAATGGTTATGCCAAATATATAACGATATGAGAAAACTGTTGTGCTAGTTAATTGGTAGTGATTTATCACATTCATTAGTGTTAATGCAACATAATCAGTAAGTCAGTGACGCCTAAACTCTGAAAAACCTGAATTTGTCCACCTATGGTGAGAATTGACCATCTGAGATTCTTATTTATTCAAAGTCAGTTAAAATTGCACAATAATTCAGAGAATCGGACTGCTCTCTCACCCCAATGGGTCTGGGTTCAATCCCAGCCGAGGTCGGTGGGATTTTTCTGAGGCACTCTGGTCACGACTTAACTCTGCTCCGCAATCTTGGCACAACGTAAAGCATGGCCGGTCTAAAAACTTGTTTAAATATTAAAAGTTGATTTGTCAGGCAATGTTTGGATTTCCTGTTTATAAGAGGATACACATAATTTATATATTTATTACATTTGACTTGAATGACAAATAACACGAAGACTTCTTCCTTTAGCGGAAATGCCTGTGTCATCAGCGAATAAAGATTTGTGGCAACCCTGTGGCAAATCAGGGAGATCCGAAGTGAAAATGTTATGCAATATAGACTTCTCTGACGTTTGTGAAATGCGCAAGTATTAGTGCAGAACTTGGGGTAAATTATAAGTATTAGTGCAAGAAAACCTTTGAATTCACCCAAAATTCTGCACTAATACTTGTGCAATTCATAAACGTCAGAGAAGTCTATAGGCCCAAGAATGCTACCCTGAGGAACTGCTGCTCTAACAGGTAGTCGATTAGATTTGGAATTTTGATAATTTACCTGCAGAGTTCTGTCAGTTAAATAATTTTGAACTAATTTCATAATATAGAGTGGAAAATTAAAATTTTTCAATTTAGCAATCAAACCTTCATGCCAAAAACTGTCGAATGCTTTTTCTATGTCTAGAAGAGCAACTCCAGTTGAGCAGCCTTCAGATTTGTTTGACCGAATTAAATTGGTAACTCTTAAGAGTTGATGAGTAGTTGAATGCCCATGGTGAAATCCAAACTGCTAATCTGCAAAAATTGAGTTCGTATTGATGTGAAGCATCATTCTATTTAAAATTATCTTTTCAAAAAGTTTACTTATTGGACGGTAGCTAGAAGCTTCATCTGGATTTTTATCTGGCTTCAAAATTGGAACAACTTTTACATGTACAATTTCTCCCAAGGCCGAGTCCAGTGAAATCTTCGGGAAAGTTGGGAAAAGAGAGAGTGTGGCTACACCCGACTTTGAACGAAGGACCAGCGATCAGAATAATCTCTCGCATTACCGATCTCGTTCGAAGAAGTTCGCGGGAAAATCGAACTTCCGTTAAGTTCGGCCGAGGTCACCTTCCCTAATCTGAGGTCACGGTTTCGCTTCACTTTCGTCCGAACCGCAGATTGCAGTGGAAGTGTTTCATTTTGTTCGCGTGATTGTTTCGTTTTGTAAAGTGAGTTAAAGCAACGTGGTTGTACTTTTAAACTTCAATTCTAATTTCTCCTCGTCGTTTGTTTAGTTATAGTTATAAATCTAAACGTAGTGTGCGTCTTAGGCTAGACTTTGTGTGTGCGAAAAATAAGCTAGACCAGGTAATGTGCTCGTTAAAGGAAATCTGTGCATTGTGCTTAATGTTCTTTTCATCAGCCGACGGCTACGTTTACGCTTCCAACGTCATCATCTGCATCCCCGGGGCGAATAATCCCGGCAACCGTCACCTTGTCCGGTGGACAGCGATCCGTATCTACATCGCTGAGCGGGGAAATCGTTGGCCGTTCAACACCAACGGTCGAACGCGCATCGATTGAAGTAGCATCGTCGCCGCGCCAGTAACAGCAGCGCAGCAATCATCAGCAGCTAAATCAACTGGGGTGAGTTTTTTTCGTCGAGTGTGGCGTCCGGCGAGGGCGCCACGGAGGACCTTTTTTTGCCGACCATAAGGTCGAAGAGCATGAATTGCTAACATTTGGAGAAGTCCAAGAATTGTAAGGTTGGGTGTCGGCAAGACAAACGTGTGCACGTAACGTCATACATGGATGCCCACCCAACCCATCAATGTTAGACACCCGGGTGCCAAGCTTTGCCGTTCCCCGCTTGCTGCATCGTCGTGGGATTCGTCAGGAAGAAACACAAGAGCACAGCACAGATAGAAGGTAGTTACGCACACAAGGATAGGACTAGATAGAGAAATAGAATAAAGAGGAGTAGGAAAAATACAAGCAATGGAAATTTCGTAAAAGCATGTTTTAGTTAATAATAAAATCTCAACTTACCGTTTTCCGTTGTGAAACAAATGTTTGATTTGAAATTGATGTAATGTTGTTGATCAGTCCTATCAAAAATTAGAATGAGAGGAAAAAAGTATCTTAACGTTGTTTTCGGGTCCGTGTACTTATGTTGTTGTCTTCCGCGTGGTCGGAATTTTACTGTTATGTTGCGTACCTCTTTTGCTGCAGCTGCGCCTCTGGCGGAATTTAAGGGAAACTACCGATGAGGAGAACTTGACGTGGGACGTTTCTCAATAGAGGTTTCTAATCGATCAAATTCGGTAGTAGTCAAGCCTGGCTCGATCTCTTCTTTCTAGGAAGATTTTCACTTGGACTCGCCCTGGGGCAGTCTTATCCGGGCAAACTCAACGTGGCCTGCGGTCTCCTTTACCGGACTGGTGCTTAAGCCGCAGGCTTAACCGAGATCGGCCAGTGTCGACTACAATATTTTCCCGAGATGTATTCAGATAATCTCGAGCAACCTGATTCTCAATAGGACTAGTATGACACAAACTGAAATTATGGGAACTCTCGAATTGCTTAGCAAGTTTCTGAGCTTTTTCCGAATTTGTGATCAAAATTTTACCACCTTCTTTAAGCGCTGGAATAGGCTTTGAGGTTTTTTTTTCAAAAAATTTCTGAGTTTCCAATAGGATTCAGAACTTGGTTCTAATTTAGATTATTATTTTCAAAAGTTTTGATCCTCAGGGCAGGATCACTCTTTAATTTTTTTTTGTAAATCCCGCCAGATAACTTTCATGGCAGGATCGCGTGTTCTTTGATATTGTCTCCTACCCAAGTAACAATTTTGGTTTTATGAGGGCTCTGTAGACCATTATTTAGACTTCTAGAATGCTATAACACCTCTATAAAGCTTGCAATGTTACTTGGGTACGGACATTTTAAAGACGGATCAAGAGCTGGAGATCGTCGTCTATTATAATTGAATCGAATTTAACCTCGCATTTTGGTACAGATGCAACTCTTGCTTCAACTATAGAAGCAGTCAGAGTTTCAAGAGCATAATTAACATCATCTTTGGTTTGCAAAGGAATGTTTGGATCGAAGTTATCGATCGACATTGCTCCCAATCAGCTCTATGGTAATTGAAAATAGAACTGTTGGGATTATAAATTATTTCTTGGGATGTTTCAAAAGTTACTGCAAGGTGATCAGAACCGAAGTCAGCATGGGTAAACAATTGGCTACACAGTTGACATGAATCAGCTAAGACCAAATCAATGGTTGAGGGATTTCTTGCTGAAGAAAAGCATGTTGGGCTGTTTGTATATTGAACCGTGTAATAACCTTCAGAACAATCATCAAACATAATATTACCATTGGAATTGCTTGGAGCATTATTCCATGAGCGGTGTTTTGCATTAAAATCACCAATAATGAAGAAGTTAGACTTATGTCGGGTAAGTTTCTGAAGGTCACCCTTGAGAAAGGCAGCTATAGACGTAAGTTGTCCAAATTTTGTTTCAACAGAAACTCCCAAAGTTTCATAAACTTTGGTTTCAAATGTAGAAAGAATTTTATGTTTGATTCGTCTTTGAACAATGATGGCAACGCCACCACAGGCTCCATCAAGACGATCATTTTTATAAATTAAATAATTTGCGTACTTTTTAACCTTATGGTCAGGTTTAAGGAACGTTTCACTTATAACGGCAATATGCACGTTATGAACTTGCAAATAAATAAATTAAATAGCTTGCCATCTTTAAGAGATCGAGCATTCCAATTTAAAATATTTAATGATTTGAAATCCATTACTGAATTTCAAAGTCATGACAATATTGTTCGCAAATTTTACTCCAGTTTGAATAGCATCAAACATGCTGTGACAAAATACTAGCAAATTGATAAAACAGATGAACACGATTGCACATAGAGAAATACATTTGAAACTATTCCAACGTGTTTTACAGGTATTCAATAACAAAAAAATATACTGAGTACAGTAGGTTCGAGCAACAACAAGTGAATTCAATTCTGCCAAATAATTAAATAAAGATGAAATTTGGTTTGATTAGTAGAATTTGAAAAAAAAAGTGCCGAAAATTTAAATTTAACAAGTAAAGGCCTGTATAGGGATCGATAAAACGTTCGATTTATCATTTTCTCAAATTACTGAGTTGAAAAAACAAATCATTAGATAAAGATGATCATAATCTCGGACATAAAAAAATCCAAATTCTAGGGAAATGTGATTGTTCCTTCTTTAAAAACATTTTCAGATTTGTTTGTCACTATTGGAACTTGATTTTTTGTATTTTTTGACTTGTAGAAATGACAAAAAACACAAAAAAATCAAGATTCAGGATTTAGAGATCTTTTAAGTAGATTAATTTTTTAGAAATTAAACTTCATTCATTTTTCAAGATTTTGAACATTGAACAAACTTTTTCTGAACTTTGAATGAACTCAAATGAGATTTACGAAGCTTACAGATATTATACAGCTGGTAGCCACATACAAATTTCAAAGATTTTTTACGGTGATAATACAGATTTAAATTGGAAATAAATGTGGCAACACTGGGACAGGGCCTCGTCTTTTCTCTTCGAATCGTTCGCTGATGGTGCTCGGTACTTCGGCCATACACGCGGTTTTTCGGATGCCGAGAGAAGAAAATGAACGGAAACCTCGTGTGTGAAAAATCTCTCCATTTGCCGAAGGCAATACAAGAATGAAAATAATCGTAGGCAAGGTGTGTAGGCAAGGGAGGTGTTATTTTTAGTGTACTGGTTTTCAGAGAAGGTTCTACCTGATACTACTAATGACTGTAACTTACTGTATAAAGTCAATTTAATCTAATAATCTTATGAATTTTTCACTACGTCTATAGACAAAGGTGATCCTTTCTGCTAATACGTGACGATTGTAAACAATTCGAGCTTATATATGAAAGGTATGAACTAAAACTTATAAACCTATATTTGGGAGTTACTCAGTGCCAACTGTCGATAATTAATAAAGAAAACCATGCGTTTCCATTACAAAAATAAAATACAAACCGAACTACAAATTATAGTTATTTAACGTCATTAATTCTATAAAATACTCACATCACTGATATCTTGCTATGTAGAAACCTGCTTCCACATTTTTGCGAAAAAAGAGGCCTGTCTCGCTCGCGTGTACATATACCTATAGTATTCCGATTGGAATCGGTTGTAGCAAAAATGAGAAATGCTGCTCTGACTTCTGAGAGGAGAGCCCCTCTTATTAACATTGCAAAGAAATCGAATCCAAGTTAGTCGATACCCGAGTGCCGAACAAAACTGATGTGTCTCATGTGAACCTATTGCAGTTTCGACTCGTCCGGTTGTACTTAACCGACTGCCAATTTCCTTCCTGTCTGTCTAGCACCAATCGAACAGTGGCATTAGTGTCCTTAATTTGGCATCTAAGTGATTGTTGCTTTTAGCATTGGTGATAAAAGTGAAACATTTGGAAGCAGGAATCGCCAAACGGGTGTCTTGTGCGTACATCCTGATATCATCGAGCGAGTATTCTAGTGCAGTGATAAGATGAGAAATCTACGAGTTCCAGTTGCTTTTGCAATTCTACTTTTAATTGGTTATGTCACAGCTCTCGAATGGGGTAAGCAACCAACCGAAAAAGTAGCCAAATCATGTGGTCTTTGCGAAAAATGCTTATCTATAAATAATACCTTTTTTTTTATCTTACGTGAGCACATCGAATGTGATCGGTCATAGAAAACGAGTGAAACTCTGTCAAGAAGAAGTGATTGTAGTTGTTCGCCTACGTCAGTGGCCAAGGATATGAAGAAACAGTCCATTTGGACCACATCTTATCATATGAACGAAATTTTCACCATGAAGATCGTAAATTTGTTACCACCACATGATTGCGACAGCAATGTGACGACAGTACGACGTACGAGTTATAGCTTTTTTCAGTGTCTCTAAACAATACCCACGGCAAGTGTTAAAGAGGTTATGAATTACGATGTAATCGAAAAACCGAATCTATCGACGAGTTCTATTTAGTGACGTAAATGCTATGACAATCTGTCAAAAAGTTGCGGATATCCAATAAATGTTCGATAGTAAAAATATTAATTTGATGTATTTTTGTTATATCCCGTTTCGATGGCTATTGGAATTCAGTAATCAATATGTATTTGACCGCATTAGTGTAAAATGTCATCAAATCATATTCATATTCAAATGAAAAGCATACACCAAAAAGCTGCGTATTTTTGTGACCGGCGTTTTTGGTGCGCAACAAAAACACTTTCACCGAAATGGACAATAACAGATTCGAAAAAGACTACACCCATGCGCCATCGTAGCATAGCGAGAAGTCACGTAGACTGAAATCGTGCAGAAACTATGTTGAATGCTTTCGGTGCCGTTTTTCATACGAGTTTGGAGTAATATTCCCATAAAATCCAAACTTGATAAAATACGTCACCGGCAAGGTAACTAGTGCATTCGTGAACAGTAGGGGAGATGGGGGAAACTTTTCCATGTTACGGTAGATCTTCATTTAATCCACAAAGTGTATCGGAATTTAAGTGCAATACCGTCCAAATGTTGTATTAGGCTATTAGCAATCCCCCTTATTCTGCGAGTCACGTGACTATCTGTCACCGGTGAGGTGACAATTGTCACCTCGTGTGAGGTGACTCTCCGTGCAAATCAAATGGAGAGTCACCTCACACGAGGTGACTATTGTCACCTCACCGGTGAGAGAGAGTCACGTGACTCGCAGAATAGGGGGGAATGTATTACCATTGATATGCTTAGAGAAAATTGCAAATTATTGAAAAGATTGGAAAAATAAAAAAGGCCACCTGTCTTCCAAATATTGCGGGATAAATTGCGCATTCTGATTTAATTTTTAGAAAGTATTCCGCATAAACGCGAACCATACTTGTAAAAAAAAGAACCATAGAGGTACAATGAAATGTACTGTAACCATACAATATAATTTATGGTATTTACAATAAATCGTTCTGTCCACAACGATAAAATAATGTTTCCACAATAGAATCTATGGTACATGGAGAAATCATCAATAGAACAAGGGGGTTGATATGTATCGCAACCATACAACAAATCACTTTTTCCCAAACAAACTTGAGCCATTTACCATTAATTTTATTGTTTTTATCGAAGGGCGAACAACTTCATAAAATACGTAAATGTGTATACACGTTGAAACTAAAATACCATAGTAAAAATATTAAAAAATAACTCGAAAATACATTGTACACGAAAAATACATTTCATAATGAATTGAATACACATTTAGCACCTTTTCACTTCTGGTTTGAGAACTTTAATGGTAATGGTTATGGTAGTCAGTAAGGTCCATGGATAGTTTTGTATTGTCGGTTAACTTTACGTGGAATATATAGCGAATTGGTAAACATTAATTAACAGGCACCTATTCGCGATATATTCCACATAAAATTGATCGATGTTACAAAACCGTACATGGACCTTACTGACTACCATAACCATTATCATTAAAGTTCTAAAACCATAAGTAAAAAGGTTCTAATATAGTTTTCTTTCCGAAAATGTATGGAGGAAACAAGAATTTTGAATGGTAATGGTTCTTAACAGCCCATAATGTGTAAGGTTCACTTCCAAAAAATCATAATACGTAAGGTTAAAACTTTATCACTCAAACGTTCATGTAAAGTTCCATAACCGTTTCAAATAAAGTTTAGCAGGGATTATAAACAATTTTTAACCATTTTTCGTAAGGTCAAGCAATGGTTTGCATTTATGTGGGATAACTTTAGGTTTTTATCCCTATTTTCTATTCCGTTCGAAACGGATTTCCCATACAAAAAAAAAACTATGAGAATCCATTTCGAACGAATAATAAGGGTGATTACCAATGTTCTTCCTCTATTGAATTTTCAAATGTTCACGGTTATGCTTTCCACAATACATTTCACACGGCGCATTATGCCCCAAATACAGTACTATTTTTCTAATAAACTTCCAGTTGAGCAGCAATTTTTAACCGCCATATCAACTAGCACTTAAGATATGAGGAGGTGCATTTTTATTCATTTCTTTATTTAATTTGAGTTAATTTTGCCCGCCATGGGCATTTTACCCCCATCTCCCTTAATTTTGTAACAATGCATATAAGCTGTCAAGTGCGTCAAGATCAAACATTGGTCATCGTAAATAGAATTATGAAATAGCTGATCTAGAGGCTGGTGCATCTTTAGACTTCTTTTCTAGTAGGTATTTGTTACGTAATTCAATGGAAGCGGACTTATTTCGTTTGTATTTACTGAATGCAAACATCCTTAAATAACGGTTTAACTGACGTTTGTTGGTTCAACGGGTTCAACCGACTACACAAATTAAGTTCAATTAACTACATGGCATGTCTCACCATCATAATGACAGTTGAAAAGCTCCAATTAGTCCCAACATCATCCTCACAAGTCACTTCTGTTTGCGTTTTTATTTCACTCGCGAAGGAACTATACCTACCAAGAAGTGCAAAACCAATCGAATATATCCATGGCTGAATAATTGGCGGGTTCAATTAATGGAAGCCGAATTGATTGACCAGTCGATTGGTAGTTTTGTCTGTCTTGGTGCTGCTGTATGTTTGAAGAATGATATATAGAACCCAAACGATTCAGTCTACGAGCCTACAAGTGTTTTACGAAAGTTTTTAAATGTAATTCACTAGCCTCCGCAGTCCGTCAGTTTTCAATGTTGCAACGGTTGACTGCTCTGAGCCAGATCGGTTTGACTTTGACTGAGAGTGAGTTAAGCTGTCGAGGTGCTAATGGTTTCGCAAGAGGCTTAACACCGCTTCGTAAAATAAAGGAAAATTTTCAGAAAACACCTGACACTACTTGGAAATTGCTCCCATTATAATAAAAAAAAAATTCTTGGCTACCAGCCACTTACATAATATTATTATGTAAGTGGCTGGTGGCCAAGATTTTTCTTGAGATGGGGTGAACCATTCTCATCTTAAGATTTAATTTCCGTCATACTAAGCATCCGCACTTTAGCACTCCTTTTTCGAACGGATTTGTACACTGAGGAAATAATTCGTACGAATTTCATACGAAATGCTTATGGAATTTAACCAAAAGAATTTATTTTGTATTTCATAGGATGACAATAGGAACGCAAACCTCTGTTATCATTCAATAATTCGTACGAATTTCATACGAAATGCTTATGGAATTTAACCAAAAGAATTTATTTTGTATTTCATAGGATGACAATAAAAACTCAAACCTCTGTTATCATTCACTATTTTTGCAATAGAATACCTACCATAGATTTCATTGAGTTGTCGTATGAAAATGATTCGTAATGAGTATAAAATTTATATTTCATTCGTATGAATTGTAAACGCGCGGAATACGAAATGCAATCGAAATGAACATGAACTTTATTGTAAATATTCCTGTGCATCAGATGTTTGTCTATTGGTAGCAAATTAGTTATATTAATAAATTAAAACAAAATTAACTTAATTCGAATTGTTTGTTTTATTTTCATTAAACAAAATTAAACATACATAAATTTATATTGATTATGCTGCCGTTCTACGCATATCTGTCCCATGTTACTTTTGGACGTTTTTCACTTTTGCTCATAAAACAGTACTTTCGAATGAAAATAGAAAAACTTGTTATTTGTTGTGGGCTTATTTTAAAACAACATCAAGTCTAATTGTCCTATGTTGAAATTCTACGCATAACTGCCCCACATTTTTTTTTACTGTTTTTATTAACGATTTGAGTGCACGAATGATTGAAACAGGATTTATATGATCAAAAGAAACTCAATGAGTCATTTCGGGAAGTAAAAGCTTTATTTTATGATGAAAAACGGGAATTCATATTAAAACACCAGATTATAGTTTTGATTTCAAACTGTTCATTATTAGAGTAATGATAATCAATTGATAAGAAGCAGTGTAATGATCTTAAAATAAACCAAACACAATATAGCATGATTTAAAATTCATTTGTATGTAGCAACGATGTATAAACATCTTCCAATATTGGCATGATTAAAAAAGTACGTATTATTATCTAAAACAACTCGAAGCAACGCAGTTATCAATGATGGCATTTTCTGTCACTTGATGTGCACAGCAAAAAAAAAAATGTAATATCGATCAACGTAATTCAAGCTGATGTATGAAATAACGATGTTATAGCAAAAACCAGATACAATATTACATCAATGGATGTAATTTTGTTCGCAAAATCGATGTACATCGTACAAAGTAATATTACACAACCGATGGAATGATCTCTGTGCAGCTGTTTCAATGTAATATTCAACAACTTTTTTTTTCTGTGTGCTACCATATTTTGTAGTTAAAATAAGGTTCCTGTTGACTGATTCAGAATATCCGTTGTCGTATAGTCCTTTCGTACATTTAGTCGTTAGAATGTTCTCAATATACTGCCGTGGATGCATTTGGTTGAATATAATGAAATCCTTATATGTTAACTTTTTCAAAGTATTTCTTGAAATCATCGAAGTCCACGATCGACAATCTTATTGTCTTCTACACATCATTTGTTTCTAGAGATGTCTATACTTCTAGGCTTTATAGAT